TTAAAAATAGGGGTGCCTGGGTGGCTTAGTCAGTTAAGCATACACTTCAGCTCAGATCATGATCTCACGGTTTGTGGGTTTGAGCCCACATCGGGCTCTGTGCTCACAGCTCAGAGCCTGGACCCTGTTTTGAATTCTGTGTCTCCCTCTCTTTCTGCCCCTCCTCTGCTCATGCTGTGCCTCTCTCTCTCTCTCTCAAAAATAAAATAAACATTAAAAAAATTAAAAAATAAACATTAAAAAAAAGAAATTAAGGAACCAATCCCATTTACGATTGGTTAGGAATGAACCTAACCAAAGAGGTGAAAGACCTGTGCTCTGAACACTATAAAACACTGATGAAAGAAATTGAAGACACAAAGAAATGGAAAGACATTCCATGCTCATGAACTGGAAGAACAAACACGGTTAAAATATCTATACCACTGAAAGCAATCTCCAAATTGCCAAAGGAACCTTGAAAAAGAAAAGCAAAGACGGAGGCATCACAATTTCAGACCTCAAGTTATATTACAATGCTTTAGTTATCAAGACAGTATGGTACTGGTACAAAAACAGACACATAGATCAATGGAACAGAAGAGAAAACTCAGAAATGAGCCCACAGCTACATGGTCAACTAATCTTCGACAAAGCAGGAAAGAATATCCAACGGGAAAAAGAATGTCTCTTCAACAAACAGTGTTGGGAAAACTCGACAGCAACATGCAAAAGAATGAAACTGGACCACTTTTTTTTTTTTAATGTTTATTTTTGAGAGAGAGAGAGAGAGAGAGCAAGAACAAGTGTGAGCAGGGGAGGGGCAAGAGAGAGAGGGAGAGAGAAAATCACCAGCAGGCCCCACACTGTCAACACAGAACTCACATGGGGCTCAATCTCACAAACTGTGAAATCATGATCTGAGCTGAAATCAAGAGTTGCACACTTAACTGACTAAGCCACCCAGGCACCCTGAAACTGGACCACTTTCTTATGCCATACACAAAAGTAAATCCAAAATGGATTAAAGACATAAATGTGAAGGGCGCCTGGGTGGCTTGGTTGGTTAAGTGTCCGACTTCGGCTCAGGTCATGATCTCACAGTCCGTGAGTTCGAGCCCCACATCAGGCTCTGTGCTGACAGCTCAGAGCCTGGAGCCTGTTTCAGATTCTGTGTCTCCCTCTCTCTCTGCCCCTCCCCTGTTCATGCTCTGTCTCTCTCTGTCTCAAAAATAAATAACTGTTAAAAAAAAAATTTAAAGACATAAATGTGAGATGTGAAACCATAAAAATACCAGAAGAGAATATAGGCAGTAACTTCTCTAACATCAGCCATAACAACTTCCTCCTAGATATGTCTCCTGAGGCAAGGGAAACAAAATAGAAAACTATTGGGACTACATGAAAATAAAAAGCTTCTGCACAGCAAAGGAAACAATCAACAAAACTAAAAGGCAACCTGGGGAATGGAAGAAGACATTTGCAAATGACATATCTGCTAAAGGGTTAGTACCCAAAATATATAAAGAACTTATAAAAGTCAACACCCAAAAAATGAATAGTCCAATTAAAAATGGTCAGAATACATGAATAAACATTTTTCCAAAGAAGACATCCAGATGGCCAACACACACATGAAAAGAGCCCCAACATCACTTACCATCAGGAAAATACAAATCAAAAACTACAATGAGACATCACCGCACACCTGTCAGAATGGCTAAAATCAGCAATACAAGAAACTACAGGTGTTGGTGAAGATGTAGAGAAAGGGGAACCCTCTTGAACTGTTGGTGGGAATGCAAACTGGTGCAGCCACTGTGGAAAACAGTATGGAGGTTCCTCAGAACATTAAAAATAGAACTACCCTATGATCCAGCAATCACATTTCTAGGTATTTACCCAAAGAATACAAAAATACTAATTCAAAGTGATACTTGCACCCTGATGTTTATAGCAGCATTATCTACAACAGCCAAATTAAGGAAACAGTCCCAGTGTCCATCGATTGATGAATGGATAAAGAAATGGCATATATATGCATGCCATGGGATGCTACTCAGCCATAAAAAAGAATAAAATCTTGCCATTTGTGATCACATGGATGGAGCCAGGGAGTATCATGCTAAGCAAAATAGTCAGAAAAAGACAAATACCGTATGATTTCACTTATATGTGGAATTTAATAAACCAAACAAGCTAAGGGGGAAAAAACAGAGAGTGAGGCAAGCCAAGAAACAGACTCTTAACTATAGAAAACAAACTGATGGTTATCAGAAGGGAAGTGGGCAGGGGGTATGGGTTAAATAGGTAATGGGTACACTTGCTGTGCACTTGCTGTGCACTTGCTGTGATGAGCACAGGGTGTTGTATGGAAGTGTAGAATCACTATATTGTACAACTGAAACTAATATACTGTATACTGAGAGTAATCTAAATAAAAACTTTAAAAAATAAGTTAGAAAAACCAAGCATGTGTTTCATCTTACCCATAACTTATTGGTGATTAAACGGTATATCATCTCTGGTTGGACTCAGGGAAATTTACCAAATTTGTGGATTATAAGAATGGTTGAACATGTTTTCTAATTTGGAGGTAGATGAAGTTGCATCAAAAATGTAAAAGCAGGGCACCTGGGTGGCTCAGTCGGTTAAGCGTCCGACTTCGGCTCAGGTCATGATCTCGCGGTTGGTGAGTTCGAGCCCCACATCGGACTCTGTGCTGACAGCTCAGAGCCTGGAGCCTGTTTCAGATTCTGTGTCTCCCTCTCTCTCTGACCCTCCCCCGTTCATGCTCTGTCTCTCTCTGCCTCAAAAATAAATTAACGTTAAAAAAAATTTTTTTTTAATGTAAAAGCAATTTAAAAACTTTTATTGTATGATATGATTAGAGATTTACTTTGGAAGTATTTCCATGTGCTGAAACTTGCTCCATGTAGTAAATCTTTCATAAAATTTGAATTATGCAAGCATATGAGCTAGAATTGCAATTATATGTAATTGACTTTGCCAATGTAATTGAAGTGCGTGACCTTACTATTTAATATACAAATCTGTGCACAATTAGTTTTCTGTGATCTTTTTGATCTCTTTTTATAATGCTATACTTCTCTAAGTTATGTGAAATCCAAAAGCCTATTACTAAGGGCATTTGTAGATTAGTACACATCTCTGACACCCTTAATAAAATAACCATTCCCTTGCCTTTCTGGCTCTTGGTCTGACTGATTAGGCAACAGCTCTAGTGAAGAGAGCCAAATTGGTTCTCTACTTAAAAGAGAAATTACCTTCTTCTTCATAATTATCTGTACTCTCTCATTGTAATCCTCAACCACCACCACCACCACCACCACTATAAGGCAAAGCAAAGATTAAATATTTCTCTGTTCATTCCATAAAAAAGGCTTCACAAATACATATTTACTATCCTCCAGAAAATAATACCTTAAGTGGAATATATATTTATTATCTGCCTGAACCTGTCAACATTAGCCAAATCTTTAACGCCTCTAATTTATGCCCAGATACAGTACTTGAAATTTTAAATAACAGTTCCAAAAAACCAAAAGCTTTTTGACCACATGTATACCACAGGGAAAGGATTTCCTAAATTCTGGCCAAATGTTGATGTCTTAACAATGTACCAGAATCAAATAATTACTAGAACTTCTAGGTCTTTATCTTAGGCACATGCTCTTCAGTGATTTCAGTTGGTCATAACATGATCATTGTCTCATGGAGCCATCAAGGATTGGCTGGGAGGAGTCTCTGGCATTTGTTTGGAGCTGTTAAGGAGTTGGCATGTTGCAGCTTGTCTTTTTTTTCCCTCCACTTCTCTTGTTAAAGTCTTAAAGTCCTGTTAAAATGTTAAAGCAACTGCTCTCTCTTCATTGGCTATAAGATTTTATGCAGCTATCTTTTATCCCTTGAGTGTGGTCATTAGACCCTTGATTATCAGAAACAGAGATTTAACAGGCCATGTTAAGAAAAATGGGAACACACAGAGATATGTGAGTGCCAGATCTTAAAAGCTGTGAGAATACGAGGCACATCTTGAGGCAACTCTCCTCTCTACCTCTCTCATAGCTCATAGGGTCTTTCAAAGAAAGAACCATTGCTTTAATCTGTGTGTCTACTCTATCCTTTTGTGAATTTACTCTGCATTCCCTAGAAATAATTTTGAAGGGAACCAGTCTGGTTGGCTTAGCTAATTATCCTCCGATAGGGCAAAGTCCTTCCCATCTGGCCTTGGGTTGGGTGCTCAATGTTGATCCCATCAGAGCTGACCCCTGCATACTTAGAGTCACATACTACTTCACTAGGCAGTGACCAGGGTGGTTTCTGCTATTAAAAAACAAAAACAAAACAAAAACTCATGGTAGCAGGCACTGTAATTAACCTGCCCAATACATGTATAATCAGAAGGTCCATGTGCCTCACCCTTGCTTAGCTAAGAAAAGATCTTGCAGAAGCCCAATGCTTCCTCCTTTTTGCACACCAAACTGGTACATCCTAAGCTTTGGGCTTTTACTGAGCTTTGGCAAAACCTGACTCTGCTTTACTTTGATCCATTCAGAGCTACCTCCTTTGTCCAGTTACTCATTTGTGGTTTGAATAATTCACTGGAATTTGGGTCTCAATGTTCTAGCCCTCTCAAATTCCACTGATTTATCTATGTAGTTAAAAATAATTATACTCATGCATTTAATAAATAGATCAGACTGCTTAACAACATTCTCTCCTACATTCAGAAATTTGAAGGGTAGACTGCCCGCTTTTTGCTAACTTTTCAATGATGTCAATTTGGGGAACGGATTCTACAAAGTTCAAGTTCTGATTCTCAGCTTTTAGAATGTCTTTAAATTTACCATATGAACAAATAATAATCATCAAGATTTCAGAAAGATTAAAAACAAAATATATTTAAACTTTTCTAATCATTTTCTCCCTCAGTCTTTTCAGACTCTTGCTAACTGCAGTGAGTTACTTCAGGACTAAAGATGCTGTCCCGAATTGTTCAATGTCTGCTCAGTTAAAAAGGACATCGGAAAAAATGACCTTGCACACTCATTAATGGGAGTTAGGAAGTAACATTTCCTATTCATTATATTACCACTATTTTCCTTAAAAATGTGCGGTTAAATATGTGGTATTTCTCAGTTCCAAGAAAACTAAAGCTGACATAAAATAAACTGAGAGTTAAAAATAGATCCGGTATTGTGGGGTCAACAAAGCCTGTTATTATTCCGATCTGATGATAGCACCACCGCACTCAAATCCTATGCATCTGTCTCTATCTAATACGTACACATATTTACTCTGAGGAAATGGGAAAGCTCAGCTCGGCCAAGAACAGTAATGTAAACAGCACTGCACCTACTCTCAGCAGGAATAGTTTGCACACCTGTCTTTCTTGGAAATGTTTCAGCTGGTTGTTTTCTCAGGTTCATGTACAATTTCATTAGGCCCTCGAAACACCTTCACTGTGTCAACTGTGCTGGCCATTAGAGAGAAGGGGAGAAAGAGAAAGAGTATTATTCACTAGGTTTGGCTTTCTAAGTGCTTGTTCCACATAAGACACAAATATGTAAACTTGTAATCATAAAATAACATATCACATACTACCGAGAGTTGGAACCGTATTCAGGAGGCAAAGAAAAGGAATCCTAACGCAGCCTGGGGAGGAGAAAGGAAAGGAGTTAGGGAGGGCTTTCTGGAAGCAGTGACCACTGAGTGGGGAAAGAAGAGCAGGAATGAGGTAGAAGGAAACACATTCTCTACAGAGAACACGGCCGTAAAAAGGACTTGGGGATAAAGAACTCTTCTTAAAGTCTTTAAAGTCTTCTGTGTGGGGTTCAGGGAGTACCACAGGGAGTTTAATATTCTAAAACATAAAGTGTGAGTTAAGCAAGGATTGAGAGATGAGGCTAGTGAGATAAGCAAGACTAAAATCACATAGAGCCTTACACACCACTGCGTTGGGAAAAGGCTGCTGTGTTAGGAAAAGCTGTTCAATATGATGTAATAAAAACTAATCATTGTGGACTCATGAGAGCTTATCCAAGAAACATCCTGTCACTTTAATACCCAGGCAGGATATTAAAGATATTTTCATATTGAGAACCTTTCGCTAATTCTCATGTCTGTGACACGGAGGTCTACTCTTTCATCTTCAAATTTGAGCTACTTAGGTCTAGTGGCAACTCTTTAAGAGTGCAGAAAAAGGAAGTGCAAACTATAAAAAATGTTGTAATTTTTTTTTAAAAAACAAAACAAATAATCAAAAGAGACCACTTAACTGTTGCTTTCTGAGCTGCAAAGATCCTGACAGACTTAGGAGGCTGAACTGAAGAAAAGTCCTATTTGTCTTAACCAATGTTTTCTTCAAATATGAGGGGCTGCATGTGTTGCCATAAGTGCTCATAAGGATCAACTGGTCAGAGTCACCAGTGACTGAACTGCGTCCTCAGAATCCTTGTAAGTAATCCCCACCCCCAGTTCCCTCCTCAGCTCCAAGGAGGCAAGTCCAGTGGGCAAACTCTCCTTCGGCCCCTTTGTCCGTGTGAATGTTGCTTATGCTCCCTAGCAAACAGAAAGGGTGAACTGGGCTCACTGATTTCTACTTTTTTTTTTTTTTTTTTTTTTTGAGACAGGAAAAGAGCACAAGCAGAGGAAAGGGGCAGAGGGAAGAGAGAGAATCCCAAGCAGACTTCATGCTCAGCGCTGAGCCCGACATGGAGCTAAATCCCATGACCCTGAAATCATGACCTGAGCCTAAAGCAAGAGTCAGATAGTCAACCAACTGACCCACTCAGGTGCCCCTGATTTCTACTTTTATAAAGGTCAAGGAGTCTGGGGCACCTGGTTGGCTCAGTCAGTGGAGCATATGACTCTTGATCTCAGGGTTGTGAGTTCAAGCCCCACACTGGGCATAGAGATTACTTTAAAATAAAAAAAAAAATCTTTTTTTTAATTAAAAACAATTTTTTTAATGTTTGTTTATTTTTGAGAGAAAGAGCAGAGCACAAGTGGGGGAGGGGTAGAGAAAGAGGGAGACACAGAATCTGAAGCAGGCTCCAGGCTCTGAGCCATCAGCACAGAGCCTGACGCAGGACTCAAACCCACAAACTGCAAGATCATAACCTGAGTCAACTTCTGATGCTTAACCAACTGAGCCACCAAGCACCCCCAAAATAAAAAAAATATTTTAAAAAACATTAAAAATAAAGGTCAAGGAGTCTTATAAAGAGGGTGACCAGATGTCCTGCTTTACCAGGCACAATCCCAGCTTATGTCTGTACTGTCAACCTAAATACCAATAGTGGTTCTTTTCACTCTCAAAAATGTCTCTGTTTGGGGGCACCTGGATGGCTCAGTTGGTTGAGCATCTGACTCTTGATTTCGGTTCAGGTCATGATCTCACAGTTGGTCTTTGAGCCCTGAGTCAGATTGCGCTCACAGCACAAAGCCTGCTTGGGATTCATTCTCTCTCTCTCTCTCTCTCTCTCTCTCTCTCTCTCAAAAATAAATAAATAGGGGCACCTGGGTGGCGCAGTCGGTTAAGCATCCGACTTCAGCCAGGTCACGATCTCGCGGTCCGTGAGTTCGAGCCCCACGTCGGGCTCTGGGCTGATGGCTCAGAGCCTGGAGCCTGTTTCCGATTCTGTGTCACCCTCTCTCTCTGCTCCTCCCCCGTTCATGCTCTGTCTCTCTCTGTCCCAAAAATAAATAAACGTTGAAAAAAAAATTTTTTTTTTAAATAAAAAATAAAAAAAAAATAAATAAAACATAAAGAATGTCTATGTTTAGATAAGAAATTATATGGTCCCCCTACCTCTAACCAGCTTCAGCAGGAATTCAACGTGTGCTTCTGAGCCTCTTCCATTTATTCCACATGAGCAGCTGGTCTGATGGAACTCCAGAAAATTCCTGTGAAATACAACAATTTGAGCAGCATCTCAAAAATGAGAGGTAAGAGTTTGAGCTATAATTTATATGTTCCAGGAACCTTCAGAAAAAAATCCAGAATTACATTTAATAAACATAAATGCTTGCTACACTCCTCTGTTAAATAAATACTTAATGTTTGAAAACATAAGGATTGTCCATCTACAACCTCAAGTGAAGATGATCAAGGAACTCAGGAAACCAAGGGCAAAGGGTTTCAGGAAAAGCAGAACTGGGAGGGGCCATCAGAAGCACCATTCCTGAGGATAGTGCATCTGGTCCGAGTGGGCAGTGTGTTCTGAATAATGCTTCCCTGGTCCTCTTCGGCCACTGAACAGCACGTTCCGCAGTTTCTGATCTCTTGGCTCTCCCTCCTTCCCCCACTCAGAGTCTTTTTCAGAGGATTTTGAACTCTTTTTCATTTTTTTAATTGTAAGAAATGACTCTGTTGAGGTATGACTGACACAGAACGAACTGCATATGCTGAAGTGTACAACTTAATTACTTTTGACGTACATTTGCTTCCATCACGATAATGAACATACCCATGATCCCCCAAATTCCTACCCCTGGTATGTCCTCCAGTCAGCCCCTCTTGCTCCCCAACTCCCATCCCCAGGCATCTTTCATTTGGCTTAAAAAAAACAAAAGAAACAAACAAATAAAACTTTCAAAAAGTGATTATTCTCAAATACTTTTTTAATTGCTTAATTTAAACCTCCTGAAGATCTAAGGTTTCTTGCTAATCCATGTGAAATGTACACAGCAATCTGCTTAGTTGTCTGGCACACTTTTCACATTAAAAAATAAATAAATAAAATACAAGAAAATTCCAAGACAGCAAAGAACATATTTGGCTTGCTTAACAAGCGTACGGAAAAGAAGCATTTGCTTTAGCTTAAAGCCATTAAAAGCATTCTTTCCTATGGAAAAGTGAATGCCAGGAACAGCGAGACACTGAAACGGTCCAAGTTTTTATTAAAAAGTGAGAGATGGCATTGCTAAAGGAAATACACACTCAGATAATAGAAATAAATCATATTTCACCCAAGTGGAATGCCTTCTGTTTCCACAAAGGTGTCAAGGAAGTTATTGAGCAACTTCCAATACTTTATCTAACAAACTGGTAACTTTGGCTTTGGGAAAAAAAATGCTCGAAGTTTATTCTTGGTTTGGATTGCATTTGCTCTAGGCTAAAAAAACAAAACAACAAAACAACAACAACAAAAAAAAAAACCAACCAACCTAACCAACCTTTTCTTTTTAATGATGGGAGACTTCAGGAAAAGCACAGTTCTGAATGTCTTAGATTCTTCCATTAAGTAACTACGTGAGTCTTCGAGTCATTTCAATTAGGCTTCTTATGGTATAACGAAGAATCTTCAAAGCCCCTTCAAGCTCTCACTTTTACAGTGTAACTTTTTCAGGAATATCTTTGTCCAACAAAGGGGTGAGGGGTGGTTCAGACTCGCCCTGGAGTAGAAAGAAAAGAAAAACCAGGTTCCCTTCCCATAGCACTACTCACTATAGCTGTTACAGTGGCTATTGCTGTATAGCTATTCTAGAGCTCTGACTGACTTAAATAGGAAATAAAGTCATTAAAGATCAAAAACATGAACCGAAGGAATAAAGAACTATGTCACAGAAATGGTCCGAGGAGAAAACAGCCCAGGGCGGCCGGTGACGTGCCGTCTTGTGGCCAAGACCATTACGCCAGAGAAAAACCCTTCTGAAGTCTCCGTGACTGTCACCAGCTCCCAGTTCCATTTCCTAATCCTGTGTTTCCCAGCCTTTGGCATGCCACAGCACTACAGAAAATTATGGGTTTTTAAATTTTTTTTAATGCTTATTTATTTTTGAAAGAGAGAGACACAGAGAGACAGAGCAGGAGCAGGGGAGGGGCAGAGAGAGACAGAGAGGGAGAAAAAGAATCCGAAGCAGGCTCCGGGCTCTGAGCTGTCAGCACAGAGCCCGACATGGGGCTCAAACTCACCAACTGTGAGATCACGACCCGAGCCCAAGTCGGACGCTCAACCGACTGAGCCACCCAGGCGCCCCAGAAAATTACGGTTTTACAGTACACTGAGGTAAAGGAGGATGCTGGAGGCCTGGGGAGACAAGTCCGGGAGCTTTGACTACCCCAGTCCCTCCACGCATCTCCAAAGACTGAAGAATTCCATATCTCAACACTCCTGGGACCTGGCCACTGTCTCCCACTGTGTCACAGCACTCTGGCACTTGTGTCTACTTGGCTGACCCAACCTAGGTTATATTCCCTAGCTGCAGGAGGCTAGGAAAGCAAGTATCAGTTTTTACATTTTATTCTATAATAAGAGGCAGGGCCCATAAATAAGGGGATTCCCCAAACAGGTGCAGGCAGGTGAGGCGGGGAAGGGGAAGTGGTGGGTGTCGGGAAGAGCTGCCAAAAACCTATTCACGTACGCAAATTTATTTCAGTGGACCTGGCCCAGACCAGTTGCGGCCATCTGACAGAAGGAAATCTTTTTGGGCTTAGAAACATGACTTCAAGAGAGCTTGATACCTCATAATTCTGAGATCTGCCTGCCTCCCTTGGAGCAACTCAAAATAGCAACACCAAATTCCATGAGCCCATTCTTCCACAGTAATAGTTCCGTGCTGCAGTCCACAAATAGTATTGCCCACAGGCCCAGGAGCAGGTGCCCCTGCTTTAGAGGGTCCTGTTCTGGCCCTTCTCTGGCCACGCCTCTCCTCTTCACGTGAGGTGACCAGGGGACCACTCAACTTCACCTGATGTCCCCATGCTGGGTGCATACCACCCACCCTTTCTAGACTATGTTCCGGGCATCCAGGATCCAGAATTACCTGACCAAATGACCCTGAGCCCGCTTCCAGGGCCAATATAAGTTTTTTCCCAAGGGAGAAAACACTGCACACACTCGGGACCGGAGGGTGGCCGATGGGCGACTCTTTGTGGCGAGCACATGTGTAATTGGAACTTGTGGGCTGGGGGGTCTGCACTTATGTGTGAGGCCCTGACAGTGAAGGACAGAGCCAGAGTGGAAAGAGACGGGGAGTGCAGGCGAGGGCCTCTGTCTCCGTTCTTGTCCCAGACCTTACATCTTCTTTACCTACTCAAAAGTCAAGCCAGGCCACCGCCTGCCCTCAAAGCCAGATCATCTACGTCGTGGGGCCTTCCTCTGTTCAGAACTTGGGAGATCATTAGCCCCGTTCAGACCTGAAAAACCAAAGAGACTCAGTCACCCCCATGCCCCAGCCAACCGGGATAGGGTCCAAGCCTTCTGATATCCATGCGACCAACTGCCTCTCCTGGCAGGCCAGGGCACAGCGCTCTGGGAGGGTGGTCCACAGCACTGGGGTTACCTCAAAGCATAAGGAAGTGGAAAGGGCACTCACCAGGACCCAAGACAGGCTGGGACAACATGAGGGGCAACAGTAGGCCCCGAGCCTGAGATCCTGAAACCACTCACTTCTACATGAGTCCCTTCCTCATCCTATAGCTAAGAAACCGTATGTTTTCCATCGGGCTTACCACCCTAGCATCAGCCTCTGTCACTCTGCTTCCTACGGGGACAGTCAGAACCGGCGGAACCCGCCACAGCCAGTGTCATCATTTATTCTGGCCTCTGGGATGTGCAGCACTACATCTACGTCACGCCACGTGGGACAGGATTGAGGCTGGGCACCTGATCCCAAGCCAGCCAATTCAACAGCTTCCCAGCGTCTAAGTGATTTCTCCCTTAGAAAAACGTAACTGATAGGGAGCCTCAGCCAGTGATGGTCTGATATGGCACGAGGGCCGGCAGCCGGGCTGGCCGATGCGCAAGATGAAAAAGCAGAGAAAGTACATTCATTGAGGAGAAGGCATCTGATACACAGAGAGAAACAGAAGCAAGAGACCGTGTGTCCCCGGAGAGACTGAGGGAGCACTTTCAGGCTCCTCATGGCTCTCCAGGCTTCAGTCTGGTGGAAATAACTGCAGTTTCAGTTATTTTTCCTCCTGAAATTTTTCCTCCCGTGCATGGAGCCAATGGGATTTCTGTAACCTTAAACACACTGTAAGACAAAAACAAACAAAAACACCTGATTTCACTTGAGCACACTTGTATGTGCCTTAGCGTGAAGCCGGAGGAAACCTAAGCAGAAATCTCTACAGTTCAAGATCACTTTTGAAGAACCCATTCACAAAAATAAACATGCCTGACATCTGACATTCAGGTTCCACAACCATGTGGCATCATGAACCACACAGCCCCATGAGGACTTTTGGCCCCATGCCCCTTGCTCAGAGGATGGCTGAGTCGTCTGCCTTCCAACCCTGACTCTCCTTGAAATGCCATCTATACCTCTACACTGAGCTTCTTACCCACATCTCCCCCACTTACCCTTACTCAACCACCATGAGAGAGAATGGAGTCCAACCCTAGTGTGGCTCCTTGGGGCCTGGCTCTGTGACACACCAGGCATCAGGCACATGGCACCAGCCAGTTCTTGAAGAACTGCCCAGAGCAACCATTTCCCACACTGTGCCCTGTTCTGCTTTAATCCTCAAACTTCTATCCTTTTGATATATGTCCTGTTCTGGCCCTTACACTTACACCAAGCACTATCCTTCTGGATACATTCTTGGCTTCTCAACCTCTGTAACTGAGGTTTATGTCGGCTACTCTCGTCTGAACACCCTTAACAAACCCCCACCTCAGTAGTGATCTGCACCTTCCTTGCAGATCAGAAAGCAGGTACCCACCATCAGACTTCACACTTCCACAGGCATAAAACTGGAAATCGTTTGGCTAATGTAATAAATTCATCACTGCAAAACTGTAGAGAATCAAAACTCTGCGAGTCACAGCTGTACTGAACACATTTCACACCAAACTTCAAAATCCCATCAGACACACAGTTTACATAAATTCACCTTTTAAATATAAGCTGTCACAATGGTGTTCACAGAAGCAACAGTCCAGGGAAAATGTCATTATGTGCAGTGGAAGGTCTTAATCTGACTGGGCAGCGAGTGAAATTATCCACAAAGACTAATTCTCCAGAGAAGGTCCCTAAGGACCTGAGTAAAGCAATCAAAGAGAATTCTTTTTCCTGGAAGAGAAGCTGAACATAAAATGTCCAATCTCTAACGAAGGGCATACCTCTCCTTAGCAGTGTAAAAACTGATTCTAGCTTTATATAGTTAAACAAACTGCCTCCAAAAACCATTATTTCTCTTCCCGCTTTTCAACTTAGGTCTTCAGAAAGCTGCCAGTCATGCTTATCTGGGAACTCAAATTCTACTGTAACACAATGACCACCCGAAAGCAATGGAGGTTTCTGCCATATCAATACAGCTGAAGCTCTTTGATGTTATCCAGACGAGGGCAGCTCTCACCCCTCCGTCTTTGTTCATGCCATCAACCCTGCCCCTGCCTGCTCTGCCCCTCCTGGCTTCCCACTGAAATCCCAACTCTTCTTCAAGGCCCAGCTCAAATTCCTCCCCATTGGGCAGTGAACTTTCTCACAGCTCTGAATTCTGATGTGCTTACTACCCATATCACTAATTTGGTGTCTGTTATATATTGTAAGATATTGCTGATCTCCTAAAAAGTCAACTTTCTCATTCTATTTAGCCTCCTTGGAGCTCTGATACGTAGTAGCATCTTGCTGATGAACTGCAAAGCAATACAAGACCCTTAAGTATTAAAGAAAGACTCAATTCAATACACCGCAAATACATAAAGCTGAAATAGATACGTACACTGGAGAAAGATTTTTAAAAACAAGACTTGAAATAAATTGGGTTTGTTCAAATCCTACTGTTGGATTTGGGATGGCCCCATAAAATGGCTATCAGCTGGGGCATCCCCAATCTTAGGTCTGGCTGAATAGGGGCAGTCTGGACAAGCGTAGTTGAAAGAAAAACTCTGATTGTGGTCCAGAAGAGCCTAGGGTTTGAACACCAAGTCCAAGATTCATGGTGTATCTAACAAATGGAAAACCAAAGGTACAAAAGAATGCAATGTGTAGAATAGTTCAAGTTAACTGTTTCAAAATTAAAGTTGTAAACAGCTGGAAAATTCTACAGAAACTCTTTTATGTGGTGCCTAGGGCATGACTTTGGGATAAAAGTGGAGACTTAAAGCAACCATACAAGGCTGAGCAACGATTCTTAAATACTAACACTCAAGGAACTAGAACACCCTATTCTACAGAACTCACATTCCCTCCCCCTGGGGGTATATTCCTTTATTCATGAATTCTCTGTGCAGCCGTAACTCTTAATTTCTCTTGGTATATCTCTAGAGTATAGCATAACACCTGGAACCTTGTATGTTCTCAGTAATGATATATTTAACTCAAAAATTAGCTGCTTTGTTTACAGTTATATGCTTAGTACCTTAAAAAGTAACTGACACACAGTAGACTCGATATTTGTTGAATTAATGGGAATGAATGAATTGGTAAATGGATGCTTGCTTGCCAATGTGCCAGACACTCTCTAGGTGTTGGAAAACATGGGCTTTCCCTCTCGTAGGCTAAAGGAATTAAAGTCTCATGATATAATTTATTCATTGCCA